AAGCAAAAGTTGCCTAGCTCCCTCATCCTACAAGCCATACAAAAAAAAAAAAAGCTGCATTTAACAAGAGTGAACAGACACATACTGCATAAGTCAGAATCAAGGAAGAAAAACTCCACAGTCACAGATAAAAATATCTACCTGAGACTCCACTGCACTGAAGAGTTGACCTGGCCATGTTCTTTCTGAGCCTCAGTAACACGGTCTGGTTTGTCTCCTCCCCTGTCCAAGCTTTTCACAGCAACTTCCCAGGAGCCAGCACAGCTCTTCTACCAACCACATGCCACAGATGTGACACCGCAGCTGCGCATGTGACGCAGGGGCTGGTCTCCCCTGGCCAGCTCATTTTACAAATCTCTCATGGCAGAGACTGTGTGCAAAATATGCAATATATTGTTACTTTGCGACTGGAAACAGGTAAGTTCAAAAAAGTCCGAGGAAGGTTCTGAGAGAAACCAGAGAGTACTGCCAGAGGACTGCTAGCACAGGAACAGCACCTATCTGACTGACCGTTAGTGGTTTTTTGGGTCTGGACCTAACTTCTGATTCATTTAGTGGTAAGTCAGGGAATATTAAAAAAAAAAAAAAACAAAAAACCAAACACAAACCAAGCAAACAAAACCCAAACCCTCAACTTTTGTCACCTTCATTCCCTCTTATGCTCTCTATGCATTGAACTTACAAACAACTGTTAACATGTTAACTATCCCAGGTTTTTGCTTAAAAACATCTATTAAGCCAGGTCCTACCCCATGTAAAACATCACAAATAACACATGTTCCATGAAACAGGAGCTACAATTATATACCCCAAACCTAGTTTCCTAATGCTTTTTAACTCTATTATCTCTTTCATTGTGAATTCAGTGCCTGTCTCCTGTGAAAGAACAGTGGCATTTGCTACACCACAGATTTCACAGCACATCTGCCATGGTGCTGTAAATGCATGCAGAGGAGACTGAGAAAATGCAGCAGTGTATATCAAGTAAAAGTTCTACCTAACTAATCAAGTCCACAGGGACAGCAAGCAGTGTCGCAAGACATATCACTCTACACTTGAATGAGGTTGTCAGCCACTGGGAGGGCTGCAAACTGCTGACAGCAATATGCAGTATACAGAGCCTTCTAAAGTAATCGCAGTAGCTTTGTAAAGTACGTACCTGTTTCTACGGATGAAGCAAAAAAAAACCCCAAACCCAAACAACAACCCCAAAAAGAAATGCTAGTATGAAAGGGAGGGTATTTGCAAATCTATCTATCTGTATTGTATTGCTGTGAACAAAACCAAACTCATTTGAAGTATGTCACACGAACATGAAAAAGGTTGCTTTGTAGGTTTCTCAAAATTCATATATACATTTGTACATGTACAGATCAAAACACTATGGAATTTATTGCAATACCATGCGTCAAAATAAATGCAGTATTAATACTGACAAAAAAGAAAAACTAGAATGTTTGTAGCATTTTATAGCGGAATATCATAAATTGAGAAACCACCCTAAGAGATAAGTATTCACAGACCTTTTTACAGATGTGTGAACTCAAGTAGAGCTGCTTATTTTGTTTGAGCCTGATCCTACTGAATATAATGACGAAAATTGACATTAAAAGTGCATACTGTTCAAACTCATTGTAAGAAGTTCAAGAATGAAAGCAGAAGATTTTCTCCTGTCCTTTACTTGAGTAATTGCAGAAAGCCACCACGCTTTAAGAAAGAAGTCACATTAAATCCTCCATTAAAGTCTCACCCCAGATTTTTTCATTTATTAGAGTAAATATATTGGGAATGCATCTATTAATATATATTCATGCAGAACAGCAATGAATAAGTACCTTTGAAGACTGTGCAGTTGTATTGCAACACTTAAAATTCTGAAGAGGGTCTTTATGCCTAGAAGCTGTTTCTCCTGGAAAAACTGGGCAACCTAATAAAAGGAATTACATATGTCTCTAAATCCTGTCTTGCTAAACTTTCTCTGTACTTCAGAAACTTTGGTATGAGATCTTTTTAACTAGCAGAATGAATGCACATACTCTATGTTCAGGCTTTTATTCAGGAAGATATTTGTATTATGTTTATATTTATTATAATTAATCTCAATTTTCAGTTTTATTTTGCTGATAGACATTTCAATTCCATTAGAATCAAATGCTTTTACTAGTGCCTTTCCACCCACTGGCATGAAAAACATTATTTATGTACCAATAATATTCTGAGCAGTTCTTAAAAGCTGAATTTTCAGTGGGCTTTAAAAATATATACATCATATATACAACATACATCAAATTCTGCTAGCGTGTATATTATTTCTGTTTGTGCAGAAGCTTATTTTGTACTTAACTATCTACAGCACCTAATTACATGTTTGTACAAATCATACATGACTATGAAAAGTACCATATACACTCTACGATAGTGTAGAAAGAGATAAAAACTGCAACCAAATCCTACATAATTACATTTGCTTCAAGAATATTCCCTTTGAAGCAATTAACTGTCAAATAATAAACTTGTTTGGAGATTATACTAGTACTTTGTACTAGTAAAACATGTAAAAAGCACATATAAGCAACGCTGCCTCTATAACGGCACAAAAGAACATCTATGTCCAGAAAATGCAGCAAAGAAGTGGCATACGTGTTTGGTGTCATTCTCTCCACAACCTTAAGCCTCTCTACATTTATTTACAGAGTGCTCTTCATTCACAGTACGGCAAAAAATAATCAAGGTAAGCCATAGGGCAGAAAAGTAGTTGATAAAGTCATAGAATGAAGGAAATACCTCAAGTGTGCGAATCCTTTTGCAGGGGGCAAAACTGAATGATAGAAGGAAGAATATACATAGAAAAGAGCTGAGAAGGTACTAGGTAAGTGCAAATCTACTGTGAGTTCTGAAAAGGAGGTTATTTTTAAATTGCAGTGGATAAGAAACCAATGAGGGTGACAGAGGACAAATCATACCCCAACTTCACGGAGAAGGAGAGCATTTTGGTTGTCACATTCTGTACAACTTTAAGTTTTGGGAAGAAGGATTGCCAAGAACTATAATTGAGGGAGTTGCTGCTTTACAGTCAGGAAGGATTAAGAGCAGCTCTGAAAGATGCGAAGTACCTCTGTTCCCACTGACTACAGCAGAGTTTGAAAGCACCCATAGTACTCGTAAACCTTAGGAAAGAAAAATAAGTCAGAAATACGATTTTTTTTGAGAGAGAGTGAAAAAATACAGACAATAATTACAAGAATATTTTAAGCCATTTTCATGAATAAACCAAGGATTTCTCCCTATGGGAGCAAATTTCACTTCTTGTTCGTTTCCATCTATATCATGCAGTGTTTTAATCATGCAGCAGTCTCAACAAATAGATTGTCACAGCATTTTAGAATAGGTAATTTATTCAAATGACACCAGAAGATGGGATAATGTCTTCATTGGTTTGGCTTAGTTTAACCCACCCACTTTATTCACTAATGACTTGAACAATTCAGGATATTATATCCACCAGAAAACCCTAATATTGTAGAAATATTAAGACTTGGATACACCCTGAAAATCAAAGTACTATAAAGTACAAACTCAGGATTCTCTCCAGCTACTCAAAAGCAACTCAAAATGGTTTTAAAAGCTTGACCAAAATATTCTAAAAATAAAGGGTTGGATAAAATATTTTAATATCTGAAATGGACATATCACTGTCTCTCTGAAATTGAGATACGTTACTAACCACAGAAAAACAAATGAGAGCAGATGTATAATACCTGAAATGTAAATTATCACAGCACTCAAAACTCACTGGATATAAAGCTCATTACACCTTCTGACCTTAAGTTTCAACTGGAAAGTGGCTACACTAGGGAAAATTTAGGAATACACTTGATCTGTGTTCTCTTCAATAATAGATACAGTTATTGACAGTCTCTATATTATACTATATGCTATTCACTTACCCAGAGACTTTCCAAAATTTTCATGAAATTAACTGATAACCATAATTTCTGTTCTCTAGATTATTATTTTTTTTTTTTTTTACTCAATTTCAGTAGCCAGGAATAACCATAATTTCTGTTCTCTAGATTATTTTTTTTTTTTTTACTCAATTTCAGTAGCCAGGTAATATGACCATAATGTACCTGGTTATTCAAAGGGAACTAACCTTTAGTGATAAACAATCAAGGTATTTGTAACTGCTCACTATAGGCCAAACATGCATTTAGGAACAGAAAATTCTTTTCTAAGAATAATTCTAAAATTAATTCAATCCTGATGAATGTAGATGGCCCATGATCTCTTTTTAGAGAAAGTGCAAGGCTGATTCACTGACTGGGGGTAATATACTGAGCTACAGAATAAGCTAATACATGTTAACAATCAAAGGTTTAAGGCAACAGGCAAGCAAGAGAAACGTGATAATTTTCCTTGTGTTACCTTTCTAACTTTGAAAGTAAATTACAAAATTTGTGGCAATAATGTTATAAAATAACATAAAATAGGTGTGCATATTAGGACCTCCCTATGAACTAGTACCTTGTAGTTTGCTGTATATGCCACACTTGCCTTTTGTTCCGGTTTTTAAAAATTCTCAGAGCACAAATAAGTGTAATAAGGCTGGAGATAGAAAATGACCTATAGGTGTAACAGCCTTTTTGAATGAATGAATAGGAACATATTTTGAATGAATAGGAACACATTACAAAAAGCTGCTTTGGTGAAAATCTTCAGCTGACAGAGATGAAGAGTGGTGACTAACATTATTGAAAAAAGGATGCGTACACGCTTGTGGATTTTTGTCAAACTGAATACATGTAATTTTGTTGTAAATAGCAGGTTAGCTAACCAGGAAACCATATCCTTAAAACGAGGTATGTTTAAAGCACAAATATATGGATATTAAAGAAGAATTTTGGAACAACAGAGCACCTCAAATTTCAATGTCTTAGAAGAGTCCAAATGACTGCAGACCTTCATTTACATACCCACAGAAAAAACAAATCTTGCCTTACCCGGCCAACTAGTATTGGTTCAGGTCCAGAAAATTCTTCTAATACAAACATTTGATTCCAAACCCAGCCTCTCTTGGAACGGTTCAAAACTCTTTGTTCTTCAGTTAGCTTTTTTAGTCCTGTACTGGATCCACTTGGTAGTACTTGAGATTGATTCATTGGAGCCATATAAATAGAAGGAAGGACAGTAATCCATAATATTATTAATGGAGTCCATGTATCCATAAGCATTTCCGTTAGTCTTTCTGGCATTGTACCACTAGCTACGCAAATCACCACAGAAATGAAATTATTATTTTGCTTTCCTCCAGACTGTAGCAATCCAATTCATCATGCAGTACAGAACATTTACTTACAGCTCCTCCATGTGTTTACAGCACAGTCAACGTAAAAATAGCTTAGATTATAAAAACATGATCCATTGAGTTTTCCAGTCATTAAAGATTCCTGGTGGGGGGAAAAAAAAAGGTCAAATCAGTGACTAAAGAGCTTAGGAAAGCATTCTGAAAGATCTTACTTTTACATCATAAACCAAGACATGTAAGTTTTTTAATTTGTAGTACATAATATTAGTGCATATTAAATGGGTTAAAAAAATTAAGTGATTCTGTGAATCCCTTCATTGCCTGAAATAGTGAGAGAAGAGTAAATGATTACATACACTCAGGAAAACATTTTACTTGGCAATTTGTCTTAGGGTCTGAAGAAGCTCCTGGCCTTCTTGCTAGTTTGCACATTTTAGGTAGCTAACTATAAACACTTAGCATGTCAAACAATAAAAGTCATACAAAATAATATTCTTGCATACAGACTTACTCTCTTCCTCAAGAAAAAAAAAAAATTACTTCTCGTAAGTGTACGAGGCTCCAGCAGTACATTCTCATTTTAGTAATCATCTAGCTGCAGCAGCACACAGCTCAGCACAACCTTCACAGCCCAGCAGAGGAACAGGACTGGTAAGTCCACTGTGAAATCCATGATCCCTGAACCAGACCACTACCAGAACCTAAGTAAGCTCATTTATATACATTTGCACTACAGGACTTTCAGTGTCTGTCTCTCAGTTCCAAAGAAAAACACACAGTGAAATTTTATTTCAGAGACATTTGCCTTGATGGACACTTGGGAGCATTTTGTCTTTCTTTCCTCACCCACCCCTTCACATATTAGAAGGCCACATCAGGTCTCATCTCAGTGTAAATATTCCTTGAAACAGGCAAGCAAATTAACACAGTAGGGCTTGCTAATGCCACAGTGATGGGCAAAACCTGAAATGCAGCCGTGGAAAGATAGATGGGACATGGCTCAGGGAGAAGGGCTGCATTACAGCTACTCTAATGAGGCTGGAGTTATGTAAAAAGATTCCCCATACATTTTCTTTGACTGATTCATATCCAAACAATCTCATGAGAAACCACTATATACAAGATAGGTAAAAATGTCTACTCTTAAGCTTACACTGTGTCTTAGGCTGGGTTTTTTCCACTTTAAAATGAGTTCTTAGTATTGGAAGGGAGTGGGTGGGGGTTTTGTGGGTTTTTTAGGTTCATACACACTCATGGAAGAAAATATCTGATAACATGAATAACAACAGTAAAAGTCATCTGTTATTTTAAAAGCAAACAATGTAAAAAGTAATTTTTTTTCAAACTTCAGTAATTGCCAAAGCAACTGTGAAATCTGTTGCATGAAAACCTGGAACTGTGAGAAACTTGTCTTGTTAAAAGAGAAGAGCTGTTATCAAACTAAAACTCAGTATCTCAAGTAGCATGGAAGAACGGTAAGCTAATAGTGCAGTCCTTTGACCATGCATGAAGAATGAGGTGAATATCCATTACAGAAGTAACTGTGTGGCTTAGAAACATCACTTAAGCCTCATTGCCAACAGAGATGGAAAGAAAGAAACTAGAGAATACAGTATGCTCTTGGAATGAAATTTTGGGAAAAACGTGAGGGAAGCAAGAGAGGCCTGGCATTCTCTCAATCCCCGGAAAAGGACGAGGAGCTAAGAGTCTAATTGCTTGATGGGAAGGGTCTGTCAAGTCACCCGGTCTAAAGAATGAAACTGGGGCTACTGCTGCTACTTTCTGGCACATGTTAAAAAGACAGATTTCCTCGGGCGTGTTTGGTGGTTGAAGGTATCAAAAGAGAGAAACAGCCAAACTTTGAATGAAAGTGGTTAAGGTTTTTTGTATGGGATCCTTGTGCATATGTGAATGGACTTGTGGGTACGAGTGTCTGCCAGGGGACAGATTTTTCCAATTTCCTCAATGGAGCAGGAATTGAAACACAGGAGAAACAGAACCACTGCAAAACAGAGTAATAGACAACTTCAAACAATATCCACAATTAAATTCAGAACTGGGGGCATAAACTGAAAACCCAACTCGAGAGTCCTTTTCTGTAGCTGAGTTTTTGGGTTTTATATACAAAGTGATTTTTGACCCAGAAATAGAAGCCCACCAGAACAGAATAGTATGTTACACCTTTGTCCAAGAAACCCAAGTGGGCCATGACCGTCTTTCTTATTCTTCCATTACAAATTGATATAGTTCTTTTTACTCACAGGACCAAATAATGAAAGTAAAGCACTCGTTTTCATATTCAAGAAGCTTTTTGAAAACAATTCTTAATTAATCTACACAGCCTGTCTTCTAAAAGAGATTAAATAAATGAGATAAAACAATATGATGCTCACAGAAACATTTTTGTTTGAAGAAAGAACAGGATATTTGTTTTTCAAACTGCCACTCTGAATCCTTGGCAAGCGTTAAGTTCATTTCAGTGCATCCCCCCGCAGTTCCTCCCCCAGATTTCCTGCCTGTTACTCTTCACTTACTCCAATCAAATGTAGGTCCTATCCATTAGCACTAATGCATAAGATTCACTGTGACTGGACCATCCTCACAGTAGCTCCCTGTTCAGCAATACCTTAAGGCAAACAAGAGCCAAAAGCACACCAAAAATATTAGTAATACACAGACCATATCATTAAACCTAACTCAATGAAATAACCCTGTGAAGAGCACAGTTACACAAGCTCAACGAACACAAAACTGCGAGATTTTCAAGTACCAACAGGAGAGTTAGGCAAGTGTTAGGCAGTGCAGGGTAAAGAAAAAAATCTGATGGGGCTTTTCCATGTATCGATGTACTGCAGGGGAAGATGATCAGTGCATAACAGCAGAGCTGGATAAATTTCTCTACAGTTCAACCTAGACTACTGGAGCCTTTTGGGATTTATTTGAGACACAGACTCTCATTTGAGATTCACTGCTCTATCAGTGAATTGTGGCATTTACTTTGTGCAGTGCTTGGAGATTGTACTGTCCCCAGATTTCTTTACCAAATTTGGAAATGAATTTACTTTTCCATTCCTGGGAGCAGAACACCATGTATGTGGTTGGGAGCTGATGGAAGGCATTATTAAATACTTGGCCATGCAATTTTCATATTGGTTAATATGCATATCAAGAAATGCCTAGTAATTAAATTATAATCCTGCAGACCAGATGTATAGGAGAAACTGATAGGGCTACTATAACGATACTAAAAAGGCGCATGTAAAGGGAGATCTGGCAATCAGGGAAGACTAGAAGGTGAGGCACAGTAACATTTTCCGTTCTTACATTATGCCAGGTTCTAAAGAAATGGTGAGTATGGAATGAGAGCAAAATTGTTCCAGTGAAGCCAGAACCACCTTTTGCTAAGCAACCAAAAGAAGACAAGCACATGGCCCTTATAGAGTGTATTTACACCCTCATAAAGATTTTGTTGGTGCTGGTAAAAGCATAATTTTTGCTTTGAATTTCCACTTACTCAAATGGCCCTATGCTCTTTTCTTTAACAAAACTTTGCTGTTCTTCTAAGTGGTTTCCCTGTATAGTATACGATATATACAACTATAAATACAACTCTAATCCAGCAAAGCTGTTTACAAAACAGCTTTACTTCTTTATTCATCCTTGAGAGGGGAAGTGATATTTGAAATATAAAGAATTTCTTTAATGTAGCAAACAGATGAAAGAAAATGTAACACTATGTCAGGTAGCAGAGATTCAGATAACTGTTATGTTTCAAAAACATAAGACTGTATTCATAAATTTGGTTCCCCATGCACAACCTACAGAGAAATAGAAATAAAGCTATATTTGATTGTTTTCCACTTACTATGCATGCTGATATAGTTCTAGAAAAATATTGTTCTATTAACAGGAACATGCATCTTGGAGCACTACTTGTACAACTCTAGGCCATAGAGTGCGTAAGTTTTATTCAAGTACAATGCAAAAAGTGATTATAACGAAGTAGAAGTTTACAACCTAGAACTTTAACTAGCATACCAACTTCAGAAAGTAACGTAATATACATTGCAACCTTTTTTGGAACTAAAATCTATGTAGGTTACTTGTATGAGTTAATTGCTTGCATACAGTTAGACCCAGGTATGACAGTAGATAGTTATGGTACATATACTAATTCATGACAGGTCTCATTTTGTATATGAGTGGTGGAAAGCTTTATGATAACTAGCATCTCGGCTGTAACTAATTTCACTACTATTATTTTAGAATCATCTTTTAGCTTTAAAAGGTGAACACTGGAATGCAGTAATTTGTTAAAAAGATTAATAAACTTAATAAAAGTAGTTTAATACATAACTTCTTATTGAAAAAGAAGCAAAGTAAGATCATAAAAAGCTTTAAAAAAATCAATTTATTCTTAGGTTTCAAACCACAGAATATCTATCTGGTCAAGCAAACCACTTTAAATCAATGCACTAGCATTGTAATACACCATGATCCTAGTTTAAAAGATTTTAGAGCCACTCTAGTGTTTCTTCACGTAAGAGACACAGAGGGCTGACTAAAGAATTGCAACAAAGTTTCTTAATTTATTTCATTCTGCATTTACCTTATCATTTATAGTGATGATATACAACAGCTAAGCCCTTTGACCTCACTATTTCACTAGGGTGGATTGTATCTATTCCTAAACAACTATTATTAAGTTAAAAAAACCATGAAGTACTGGTTTATTTAAGTAACTTACACTAGAGATGCCAGACACAAGTTGGTGATCTTTGACTAAAGCAGGGGGGTTTTGGTAGAATTTTCAGGATCTTTTCTATTTTATACATTAAATGACCCCTTCAGCATGCATTCAGAAGACTGATATCAAATTGCCACAACATTAAGAGGTAAATGATACATAAAGGCAATGGAGTTCTAGTAAAAATGTTTTAGATGTATTTATGCATAACCTCTACCTTTGATGCTAATTAAATATAAGCAAATCAGCATTACAATACAAGCAGCCTCAGATAATTGATGAGAGGCGTTCATTTACTGATCACTTAGAGAGTTCCAACTAGCAGTGTTCGATAGCAGGGGGATAGCCTGGGCATTTTGCATGCTTCTTTTGGAGCCTCGAAATTCCATC